AGGGAGGGAGAAGCGAGACAGGAGGGAGGATGGAGGAGAGGACGGAGGGGAAGAGAGAGGAGGACGACGACGACGACGACGACGACGACGACGACGACGACGACGACGACGACGAGGGGCGCCCTCGATGGCCCAGCCGAAGTGCAGCCCGCAGCTGAGGTTCACGCGGCAGCTCTTCCCCGGCAGCCTGTCGGTCGACGACCGGCCCGCGTCCCGCCAGCACGAAGAGGTGGTCACCGCCGTCGTCGTGCGCCGGCGTTGTTTTCGTCCTCTTCGTGTGCCGTCGTCCCCAGACACCCTCGCGTTGTGAAAAAAAACACGACGAGAAAGTTTTCGCTATGTTCGGCCTCCAGAGACCCCTACCGGGCCTCGGGGCCGTCAAAACACGACTCGGGATGAAACACCGGCTGGGAAAGGGGTCCAGACCTCTGGGGGTCGACGCTGTGGAAAAATCACGACGTCGGGGGTCTGGGTCATTGAAGGGGCCCTGGGACAAACAAATAAATACACTCAAATAAAAATATTCCCCATATTTTCCCATATTTTCTGGGCTTCTGTCTTCCCCCCCACTTCCCATATTTCCCCATATTTTCCTGGGGAATCGAGGATTAATTGTGTCTGTGTGCTTCTTCCCCTCCTGAGTCTGGGTCATGCCCTGCTCGTCGCGAAGCTCTTCCACGCCTGAGCGCCTCCCCCCTCCAACCCCACGCGCGGGCGCCCTCGTTTTCTTTCCTTTTCCTGGCGTGCGCAGGACCGGGGCGCCTCTCGCTTGCCCCGACTATAGCTCCGCGCGGGTGCGGCCTGCCTCTGCCTCGCCGCCGACGAAACAGGTGCCGTCGTCATCGCCGGGGGGATATCCGAAAAAACTGCGGGATCCGCCAGAGGACCGGGGGGGCCAAGTCCGCTCTGGAGCGGGGGACGAGACTCGGACGGGAAGAGAGAGGGGTGGCAAAGGGGGGGGGATCAGCGGGAAAGGGAACCGCGGAGCAGGAGGCAGGACGGGGGGGAGGAGGGAGCGAGGAACCAAGATAAAGAGGGGAGATGGGGGAAGGAGGACCAGGGAGGGAGGGGGAAGGAGGACGAGGGAGGGAGAGAGCGACGGAGGGAACAGGGAGGAGGGAGGAGGGAGGAGGAGGGAGGAGGAGGGATGGAGGGGGGGGAGAACGGACGGAAGAGCGAGGGCGGAGGCAGGAGGGAGAGAGGACCAGCCGCGCATCGTCGGGACCCATTTGGCGACACCAGGATGCTCGCAGGCAGACCCTAGCGCAGAAGCACATCCTTCAAGCACGCGAGACCGTCCGCCAGCCCAACGCAAGAACATCCGACGGTGCCCCCCCCCCCCCCCCCCCAAGGATGCACGAGAGCGTCTCGCGGGCACGACGGGCCTCAGGACACCCTCCCCGGACCGACCTCGATCTTATGCCACGGTCGACCGTATCCAATGACCTGGGCGGGGCCTGACTGCGGGGAGGAGCTGCTGGCGCAGCGCGCCTCCGGCGCCCCAGTGGCCGGGGGTGCGCGGCGGGAGGCGGCGGCGAAGGCGGGGAGCGGGCGGCCAGGGCGGGCGGCGGGCGCCGCCTCTGCTGCAGGCCGGGGTGGCTGCGGTAGGTCGCCAGGACGTGCGAGCGATGGACGGAGCCTCCCCTTCCATGTCCTCCTCTACTCCCCTTCCTCGACTCCTCCGCCCCTGTCCCCCCCCCGTGCCTCGTTCCCCCTCGACTCCCCCGCCCCTGTCCCTCCCTGCAAATATAAACGACAAATTCAAACCCAACCCCCTCAAATAGATAACGGCTGCACGTGAAAGCACTGACCACGCAGAAGAACCAAGACAAGACGACCATCCATGAACGAAAGGCTGACTTCGTTTTAAGAGCCAAGACGTCCGCTGGCCCCTCGTGGGCCTCCAGGCACGGGACATCCCACCGCACTGTTATCCCCCTGGGGACCCCGACCTGGAAGTTTGACCCCCCATCACGGGCGGAGACCCATTTGCACGGGCGCCCCGTGCACATGGCCGCTGGAACGGGCAAACCCCCGGCGAGCCTGGTCCCGACGCCCGGGCCGCCCATCTGCATGGACGCCCCATTCAAGTTGGCCCCCCAACCAGCCAAACCCGCGGGCCGAACTCCCCGAGGATTCGCGTCCATGTTGCATGGGCGCCCCATGCAAACGACCACCTAACCGGGCGAACCGGGGAAGGGCCGGGCTCCCCAGGGGTGACTTCGCATCCATGCAAAGGGCCGCCGATACTGGCCAACCCCCTTGGGGACCGGGCCCATCTGCGAGGGGCCACGCTCAAGCGGGGCCCTTGCATGGTCTGACATCACGAAAATATTTTGGTTTTTCGAAAACGCCCCAAGACGGCCCGAGGATATTCCCGACGGACCGCCCAAGAGGGCCCCAAGAGGGCCAAATCGTGAATCGTCAATTTGCATGGCGGCCCGTTCGGTCTCGAGGCGGCCCCCAAAAAGCAGCCAAGAGGCCTCCGAAGAGCCTCCAAACAGGCTCCCCCGAGAGGCTCCCAAAAGGCCCCTGAACTGTCCTCCAGAGGCCCCCCAGAGCGCCTTGAAGAGACCCCAGGAAGCATCCATGAAGACTCTGACCCACGTCAGGGTCGTCGTCGCCGCCGCCGCCGTCGTCGTCGTTCCCCTTCAGGGTCGGCGGCACCAGCCGTAAAGCCTTCGCAATACGATGTTAAATCTGACATCGGCCTCTGAGCATCCTCCTTCTGCTCCTCTTCCTTCGGGGGCGCGCAGACATGGATTAGCGATCCATGGATTTAGCGCGCGGCCGCCAAATCCATGGATCGGGGGAGGTGCCCTCCCCAAAATGCGGCCGGTGCCGCCTCGTTCGGCGGCGAAAATCCGCGATTCCCCATGGAAACGGGGCCCGTCGCTAATCCACGCTCGTCGATCCATGTTTGCGATCGCCTGACTCCTGTGCCTCGGACTTTTCCAGCTCCACCTCCTCCTTCGGCTTCTCTCCTCCGCCTCCGTCTCCTCCTCCCACCTCCCCCGGTAAATTCCTCCTACCGCTTCCTCCTCCTGTGCCTCTCCTCCTCCTCCTGATCCTCCTTCTCCTGCTCTCCTCCTCCCCTCTCCTCCTCTCCTCCGCGTCGAGCTCCTCGTCGTCCGAGCCTCCGCCTCCTCCTCCTCGTGGAGCCGCTCCCCCCTCCCCCTCCTCCTCCTCTCTCCTCCTCCTCCTTCTCCTCCTCCTCCTCCCACCTCCTCCTCCTCCTGCTCCTCCTTCTCCTCCTCCTCCTCCTCCTCCTCCTCCTCCTCCTCCTCCTCATCATCATCATCATACTGCTTCTCCTCCTCATTCGAGCTACCCTCCTGCCTGTCCTCCTCCTCCGACCTCCCCCTCCTCATCCTCCTCCTCCTCGCCCTTCGCCATCACCCTCCTCCAGCTATGCCCCTCATCTGCCTTGTTCGAGATCTCTCATGGGAGTCTCCTGGGGGCCTCTTGGATGCGTCTTGGAAGCCTTCTTGAATGGCCGAAGTGCGAACAAATTCTGATCACTGCCACGATCATAGGAGGTCGAAAAGGCGACGAGAGCAAGATGATCGAACAACTTCAGGTGGTTCAGTGGTGCTGGCCTCTTGAGGGGATGCCTCAGAGACCCCGATGCCACAAAAGGGGCCATCTAGGCGCCTCTTGGAGCAATGCTGAAAGCCATCCTTGGCCGATGTGGTCCATATTGCGCTATATAGGCAGACTGCGTGCCCATGTCGTTGCCCTGCCCTGCCCAAAGCCGGACCGCTGTGCTCTGGGAGATCAGCCGAGAGGGTTCCACGTTCGAAGCGCCACAGTCTGGAACGTTGAAGCCACAGCTGTGTCTTGTGATGGGTCCTGCCATGTCCTACACTCAAAACGTATAGTTAGGACGGGTGATAGGGACGCAAGCCTCCTTTTGGAGGCCGAAGGTGGGATTTTTTGGACGGCGGGCGACCAAACCCCGAGGGTACCCTGAGACTCTGGCCAGTGGAAACGGCAAAGGACCGGCGTCAGAGGCAAGGACACAAAGGGTACTCCGCGTTTCTCCATGACCGTCGGAGAGGCGTCTCCCCCCGCCGACAGCCCCACGTCGACCCCCGTCGCGGGCAGCGACCGCGCGCCGAAGGCGCTCCGACCCCCGTCGCGGCGCGACGACGAGGCGAGGTTGGCCCCCGTTAGGGGGTACCCCCCCACGCTCATTAAGAAAGCCACAGTACCCCAGAAAAGACGCGCGTCCATACTATGCGCGTTGACTGTAACTCACTCGCCTGACCAGCCAAAGATCCTATGTGTTTGTTTCGCGCTGAACACTCTTCCTGCATGCTCGCGGCGCAGCACCCTGCGTCCAGCGGTATGCACTCCGACGGCGCAGAGCCCTGCGGCGGCCCCACCCACTCCTCTTCATACTCCACTTCGCTGTTCTCGTCCCTCCTCCTCCCCCTCCCCCTCCCCCTCCTCCTCCCCCTCCTCCTCCTCCTCCTCCTCCTCCTCCTCCTCCTCCTCCTCCTCCTCCTCCTCCTCCTCTTCCTCCTCCTCCCCCTCCCCCTTGGGCCTGCCTCCGTGCCGACGCCCCGCCCTCTCCGCTGCTCCTCGCCCTCCTCCTCCTCCTCCTCCTCCTCCTCCTCCTCCTCCTCCTCCTCCTCCTCTGGGCGCAGGGCGGGACAAGGCGGAGGGAAGAGCGCGGCTGAGGAAGGCAGTCGTGCTCGTGGTCCCTCTTCCCCCATCACGCTCCCCCGTCCCACTTCTCTGCCGCATGCTCCTCCGCCGCATCGCGGGGATCCACAGCGCACCCACGCCACGGTTCCCAGGACCCCTCCATGTGCGCGCTCCGAAACCGGGACTTCGAGGAGGATCCAGCCGCGGCGAAGAGAGCTTTCTCAAGCACGAACAGCGGTATCGGAACCTCTTACTTCTCTGAGCATTACACCCCAAGAGTTCAAGAAACTCGGCACCGAGGATTTTGGTGAACGCCAGCACGGACATGTCGGCCATCTTGCACACACAACTCTCGTCGAGGTCGGACGTCCTCGGCAAAGGCAAGCCACTCCCCAAGAGGCGGCCCCATGAACCGGGCGGCGGCGACAAACCAGAGAGGGGCCGAGGCACGCAGAAGGAGAGGAAGGGAGGACGGAGGAGGATAGGGAGGAAGGGCAGGAGGAAGGAGGAGCGCGATAAGGAGGCGGGAGGGAGAAACAAAGCGGAGGGATAGAGGCGAGGAAGGCGCAGGAGGCGTGAATGATGATGAGGATGATGATGATGGTGGTGATGATGATGATGACGACGATGATGACGACGATGAAGATGATGGTGATGATGATGGTGATGATGATGATGATGGTGATGATGATGACGATGATGACGATGGCGATGATGATAATGATGATGATGACGATGATGATGATGGTGATGATGATGAGGATGATGATGAGGATGATGATGTTGGTGATGAGGATAATGATGATGAGGAGGATGAGGATGATGATGATGATGATGATGATACTGATGATGGTGATGGTGCTAATGCTGACTATACTGATCATGATGGAGATGCTGATGATGATGGTGCTAGGATGATGAACATGATGCGGATGATAGTGATGATGATGGTGATGATGATAAAATTATGATGATATGATGTTGATGTTGATGTTGATGTTGATTTTGATTTTGATGATGATGATGATGATGATGGTCATGATCATGATGATGATCATGCTGATGTTGATAGTGATGATGATGATGACGACGACGACGATGATGATGATGATGATGACGATGACGATGACGATGACGATGACGATGATGGTGATGAGGAAGAGGAGGAGGAGGAGGAGCAGGAGGAGGCGGACGCGTGGAAAGAGACGGAGGGGGAGGCAGCCGTGCTGCACCGCGGCTCAGCGGGACAGGGCAGGGTAGAGGCGTGGAACTCAGGTTCCGGCTACAGCGTCGCGGGAAGGATCTGGTGTTGAGGAATAGATCATCTCTCGCGCGCGCACGCGCGGCTCGCTGGCGCTCTCTCGCGCTTGGCGAGACCTTCCTCGTGGCGCTTCCTGCTAGGGATGGCACGAGCATGAGAGAGAGGGACTCGGAGAGATAGAAGCATCGGAGGGGATGTGGAAGTGGGGGGAACGAGAGTTGGGACGAGAAAACGCGAGGAGAGGGGGAGTGCGACGGTGGGGTGCTATGCCATAGGGGGGGAGGAGAGGTTCTTCTGATCCTCCGCCTCTCCCACTCCTCCTTCCCTCATACTCCTCATCCTCTCCTCCTATCCTCTCCTCATCCTCTCGAAATATTATCATCATCAGCAGCAGCATCATCATCAGCATCAGCATTGGCATCATCAGCATCAGCATATCATCATCAGGAAATCATCATCATCACCATCATCATCATCATCATCATCATCAGCATCATCTTCATCATCTTCATCATCATCATCATCATCATCTTATCATGTAATATCATCCATCATCATCATCATCCATCATCATCATCATCATCAGTATATCATCATCATCATCATCATCATCATCATCATCATCATCATCATCATCAGCATCAGCATCACCATCACCATCACCATCACCATCACCATCGTCATCATCATCATCATCAGTAGCATCGTCATCATCATCAGCATCATCAGCATCAGCATCATCATCGTCATCAGCATCATCATCATCATCATCAGCATCATCATCACCAACATCAGCATCATCAGCAGCAGCATAATCATCAGCATCATCAGATGCATCATCACCATCAGCAGCATCGCCATCGTCGTCATCATCATCAGCAGCAGCATCAGCATCAGCATCAGCATCAAAATCATAATCATCATCGGCAGCATCATCATCATCATCATCATCAACATCATCGGCATCATCATCATCAGCCTCATCGCGAACATCAGCATCAGCATCAGCATCATCATCATCAGCAGCATCAGCATCTTCATCCTCGTCCTCCTCTTCTCATTACGATTCTGATTATTCATCGAATTACAGTATGGCTGGTATTATGAATGTATTATTCATGCTCAGTTTAGTACAAACAGTTCTTATGAATAGTCTTGATGATACTATTCAAAGTATTAGTTGTCTCGTTCCTCACCTTATTCTTATTATTAGTGATAGTGATATGTATCGTACGAGCGTTGTTATCATTATCACCAGTATCACGAAAACTGTTATCATTATTACATTCCTCCTCCTCATCATCATTACCTCCATCCTCCTCCTTCTCCTTCTCCTCCTCCTTACCCTCCTCCTCCTCCTCCGAGCCTCCCTCCTATCATCGTTGTTATAGCCACGACCACCGATGAAGCCCTCCAAGCAAACGTTTCGGTCGAGTTTGAGAAATCAATGCTGTTTTACGCAATGGCGAGATGAGGGTGTAGTTTGGATCTGGATAGCACTTATAATCGTTCAAACCTTTTTGGACATGGCGACTGGAAACCAGCAGCAAACGAAATATGAATGTAACCTGCGACAGAGAACTGTATTCTGCTACGCCGGGAATCCTTCTGCAATCCACCACAGAAGTGTTATCCGCCCTCGGAAGGCCGGGAGGCCCCTTGAAAGCCCCAAGAGGCCCACAAGAGGCTTTCGAGTCCCAAGGAGGCCCCCAAGAGGCCCATCAGAGGCCCCAAGGCGCCCCGAACAGATCCCCAGGAGGCCCCAAGAAGGACCCAAGAAGACCCCAAGACGCGTCCTATTGCTCGTCAACCTTCTCTGGGTGGGGGAGCATATAGTCCAATGTCTTGGCTAGACGTTGGCCCAACGTTTGACCGCATAAGCGTGTCCCGAGAGGAAGGTGGCGGCGGTGACTTGCCGTAGGCATCGAGGATACATTCCTCTCTGGCCACTGTGAGCCAAAAGGACACGTGCGGCCAGGAAACAGCCCAGTTTTCATTCGATCGAGGTTATCGTGCCTAGTCTTGCTTGGAGAGAAGGCACATTCAAAAACCAAGGATGAGGAGGTCAGGAAGGAGGGGCAGCCGGAGGCGGGCACGAGTAGGGGGGAATAGACGAGGAGGAAAATGAAGGGAAGAAACACGAAAAGAGGGAGGTGGCGTCCTGACGCTATCGATGCACGCGAAAGCCAAAGCGCTGCGGCTTAGTGCTCAGGGCTGCACGTATGCCACCCCAGCCGCCACCCCCTGGCCCTCCCAACAAGCCCTCCCTTTATCCCTTCCCTGCTCCCCAATCCCTCCTCTCCCCTTTTCCCTGACTTCTGCAGTTCTCTCCTCCAGATCATGAGAAACACGTCGCCGTTGTTCCGGTTCGCGGCCCCATGAAACTCATCGACAACACCGTGCACTATCTCGGCGATCTGATTCACGAAGGTCATGACCTGAGGGCAACGCGTGCTGCTGAAAACTGGAACTTAATCGGCATAGCACTGGACGGGTCCCTCGCGCAAAGCCTCGTGCGTCAAGAGCTTCACGAGCCGCATCGCCGACCAGGAGGAGGAGGAGGAGGAATATGAAGAGGAAGAGGAGAAGGACGAGGAGGAGGAGGAGGAGTGAGAGAGGAGGACAAGGAGGAGGAGTAGGAGGAGGAGGAGGAGGAAGTGAGGGAGGAGGAGGAGGAGGAGGAGGAGGAGAAGGAGGAGAAGGAGGAGGAGGAGGAGGAGGAGGAGAAGGAGGAGAAGGAGGAGGGGGAGGGCGAGGAGGAGGAGGAGGAGGAGGAGTAGGAGGAGGAGGAGGAGAAATAGGAGGAGGAGGAGCACGAGGGAGGAGGAGGACGAGGAGGAGGAGGAGGAATGGGAGAGGAGGAGAACGAGCAGGAGGAGCAGGAGGAGGGGGAACGAGTGTGGTGGAGGAGGGATGGGGATGGAGAGGGGGAGCTCGGAGGTTGCCAGAGGTGTCCCTGGCCGCGGGTGTTCACGGATCGTCGATCCATGCTGGAGCCCCTGGGGACGTCCGGGCCTCGTGAGGGCTGCTCTGGAGGCCGTGGGAAGCCTCCCTGAAAATCCAGGGGGGACCGCTCTGGTCTGCCCAGCACCGCACTAAGCTGGACCTCCCGGAAGCCCTCGAAAGTAGCGATATATTCGCAGATCGCAGTCCCCCAGGAATGGCGAGGTCGGAGGCGGGCACAAGAGAGGTGCGAGACAAGAGGGGAGAAAGAGACAGAGAGAGAGAGAGACAGAGAGAGAGAGAGAGAGAGACACAGAGAGAGAGAGAGAGCAAGGAGGGGGACGGGAAAGGAGGAACGCGACAACAGTAGTGCTCTATCCAAAACGAGAGCCCAAAAAGGGAGGGTTGGGACGACGAGTGCTGCTCGCTGCACCACACCGCAGAGGGCCGCCAGGAGTCGAACTTCGGGCACCACCCGGGCGCCAGGCCCGTGGAATGCTCAGCACCGCGCCCGGCCGTGGCTCTCGAAAGCGGCGGTCTCACGGCGGGTCCGTCGTCCCAGCCTTCTGGGTCCAACGCTGGTCTCCGCAGTCCAGAAGAGAGAGGAGGAGGAGGAGGAGGAGGAGGAGGAGGAGGAGGAGGAGGAGGAGGAATGAGAGGAGGTGGAGGAGGAGGAAGGAGGAGGAGGAAAAGAGGAAGCGGAGGAGGAGGAGGAAGAGAAGAGGAGGAGGAGGATGTGAAGAAAGAAGGCGGCGATAGGTGCGGGGAGGAGGAGGGGGGGGCGGAGGAGGAGAAGAGGAGGGAGGAGTGGGAAGAGGAGGAAGGAGGAGGAGGAGGAGGAGGAGAACGAGGGAAAAAGAAAAAGGAGAACGAGGAGGAACAGGAGGATGAGGAATGGAGGAGGAGACGGACGAGGGAAAGAGTAGGAGGAGAAGGAGGAGGAGGCGAGGAGGAGGAGGAAAAGGAGGAGGAGGAGAAGGAAAGGAGGACGAGGGCGGAGGAGGAGGAGGAGGAAAAGGATGGAGTGGAAGAGCAGGCAAGAGAGGAGAGATGAGGAGCAGAGGCGGAGCGGAGGAGGAGGAGGAGGAGGAGGAGGGGAGGAGGAGGAGAATGGAGGAGAGGAGAGTGGAGAGAGGAAGGAGGAGGAGGAGTAGGTAGGAGGAGGAGGAGGGAGGAGGAGGAATGAGGAGGAGGAGGAGGAGGAGGGGGAAAGGAAGCTGAGGAGGAGGAGATGAGGAAGAGGAGGAGGCGGATGGAGGAAGAAGAGGAGGATAGGGAGGAGGAAGGAGTAGAGGGAGGAGGAGAAAGAGGAGGGAGGCGTGGGAAGAGGAGGAGGAGGAGGGAGAAACGAGGGAAAGAAAAAGTGGAACGAGGAGTAAACAGTGAAGGATGCGAACATGGAGGAGGAGAGGACGAGGGAAATAGTAGGAGGAGAGAGGAGGAGGAGGCGAGGCTCGGAGGAGAAAAGGAGGAGGAGGAGAAGGATAAGGAGGACGAGGAGGAGGGGAGGAGGAGGAAGGAAAAGGAGGAGGAGGAGCAGCCAGCCCGGAGGAGAGAGGCGGAGAGAGTAGGAGGAGGAGGAGGAGGAGGAGGAGAGGGGAGGAGGGGAGGGGAGGAATGGAGGAGGAGGAGGAGGAGGAGGAGAGAGGAGGAGGAGGAGGAGGCGGAGTTGGAGGAGGCGGAGGAGGAGGAGGAGGAGGAGGCGGAGGAGGCGGAGGCGGAGGAGGAGGATGAGGGCGCGCTCTCGCGCAGGAGGAGGAGGCGAGGACGAGGAGGAGGAGGGAGCGAGGGTGAGGGAGAAGGAAGGAATAGGAAGCGGGGAGGAGGAGGAGGAGGAGGAGGAGGAGGAGGAGGAGGAGGGAGGAGGAGGAGGGAGGAGGAGGAGGAGGAGGAGAAAGAGGGGGAGGAGGAGGGAGTATAGAGGAGGGAGGAGGAGAAGGGAAGTAGGAGGACGAGGACAAAAATAAAAAGGAGGACGAGGCGGAGAAGGAGGAGGAGGAAGAGGAGGAAGAGAAGGACGATGAGAAATAGGAGGAGGCGGAGGACAAGGAGAAGGAGGAGGAGGACGAGGACGAGGACGCGGAGTTGCTGAGGATTCGCTCGCAACGTATAGTCGAATCGGCCGAGGGCGAGGCGACCACGCTCGAAAACGGAGGCGCCCTTCATCCCAGGCCTGTCCTGGGCAATCTGAGGCCTCCGAAGCTCTGATTCGTGGTGGGGTGCCTTCCCTGCCACAAACGGCTTAAACGCCCAGCTAGGACACGAGGATTCCCCCCAGGACAGCTGGTCAACAAACCCGTCCATCGGCTGGTGGCGTACCTTGCGCACTTCCGACAGAATACTACTGTCTGATGGCGCACCATCTGGCGGCCTTCGGCTTGGGCCCGCTGGATCATCTCTCCGAGACCCACGGGAGGCCAAGGAGGGGGGACCACGGGGCCCTGTGAGGGCGGTGGAGTGCCCGCGGGGCTCTCCACTCCCTCACTGGGCGCAGGGGCGGGAGCGGGGCTGCCCAGGGCCCCAGAGGGCCCTGGGCCCTCGGAGGTGTCCTCGAGCCCGCGACCGAGAACCCCGACGTGCGCGGCGAATTCCAGAACGTCTGAAACCGACTGGAACCTCTGAATATACGCGGCCCTGCACCAGGCCGCGTGCTGATGCAGCTGAGCCCCACGCTTAGCGCAGGCGTCCGCAAGTTTACTCCCGATGAACAGCTGGGGCCCTATCAAGGCCCTTTGGGCCCGTGCGGCGTGGGCTCTGGCTTTACAAAAGAGAGAGAGCGTGATCCACCGCCGCTTTACTGTGAAAAATTGCCAACCTTTTCCT